TAAATTATCCTTCTCTTCAATTGCTTGAATGGCTGTAATGCAACTGATGTTAAAATCCTATTTAAAATCTCATTTTTTCTCCTTTGCCACATGGGATCTAACAAGCATATTTTTCCCATATATAAAAAACTGGGATCTGATTTCAACTGTGTGTCCCATTAAGCCTATTCTGGTGAGCTGCACATCAGTAAGTTGTCACACTCATGAAAGGCCTTCCTCAAGGGCGAGGAGCCTCAGGGGACAGTAGTTCATGTACCTCATGACTTGCATCTTGCAGAGATCATAAGGGCAGTTTACTCACTCGTCTGTTTCATGACCACGTAGTTGTTAAGTGTGGGAATGGCCTTCTAGACAACTGAGTGACCCAGTGTCCCTGATGTCCCCTTTGAACTGCTCAGAGCAAGCAATAAATCAGATACATAGTTTGATTTTAAATCAAAAGTTATGATTTTATTTTTAATCTTAATACACCAAAATATTTTTTTTTAATGTTGTGAAAGAAGCACTTGAAAAGAACAATTCCAACATTGCTGTGATTTGCTCTGAAGGGGTAGATGGATGAGGCGCCCTCTGAATGCAGGCTCCCCCAAGAAGAAGCTGAGTCTTCCAGTGATTTTCAAGGGTAGCAGCAAGCAATCTCAGGTCCTAATACCCCCAGAACAGCAGACTTTTCTGAAACCTAATGACCATGTGACAAGGAAGCACTATCAGGCTACTTCTTGATTTTTGTCCACTGGGAGAAAAAGTCCCACTGGCCACCAGCACTGGAAAAACAACACTTAAATGTCATGAATAAGTTGGGTGTAGACTTCCACTGAAGCATATCTGATTGTGACACTTTCACCTGTCTGACAAAGTGTTGTTACTCCCAAACCCACCCAGGGATATGTTCCTGTGTCCCTCTGTATGGCTCGAACAACTTCTGTGTCACTTTCTTTAAAAAGCATGTACCTGGAGACTCCCTCCTCTGTGCACCCTGAATTTTCAAAGTATCTGAGGATGAGGAAAGTGACTTGCTGATTCAACAGAATGTTCTTTCTGTGCAGGTGTACTTAACTGGCCTCTTTGTTACGGGTTCTGCCATGTGGCTAGCAGATTTTTTTAACTGTAGTCTTTCACAACAGGCATTGAGGAATAGGCAATGACTTCACAAACATCTGTTTTGTGTCACTCTTGGATACCAGCAGAGGATGTTGGCTTATTGGCAAACTGGGACCTAGCATTCCATACTGAGGACTGAAAAAAATAGGGCATTATTACTTCATCAGCAGTCACTTTAACGTGCACACATGACAGGTCAAAGGCTGTGCGGAAGTCTTAGCAAAATTCTTTCCTCATGGCATTGTGAATTGGGTATAGTACATATATATCAAAGGAACAGGAGAACTTTGAGGAGCCATAGGGGACAATGAGGATTCACCACACAACACAGGCTCTATCATCCCAAATAAATAGCAGAATATTAATAATCGAAAACAAAAAGATTGGAAAAAAGATACACTTGACTCCTGGAAAGTTCTGGGCTTTCATCATGACATTCTTACATGATTTTACTTTTCAGGATGGAAAGTTCAGGAAAAATAAGTGCCAGGGACATGGACCACACACACACAGTTCACAACTCTGAACTTTGGGAGGTCTGTTTGGTCTCCTCCATTCTCCAGGTAGCTGTCTGGAATCAGCACTTAGCCAATTCAACAACTCTCAAAGAATCACTGTCCAAATTGGAAAAAGCCCTCGGGACACACTGTAGTCAATTCAGTTGTGTGACATAGACTGTCTCTGAATTAGAGCCTGTGCTGTGAGAATAAGAAGATAGTAACCCCGGCATGCTGTCTCTCCCAGGTAACTCAGTAGTTTGGGAACATGGCCACTCTTCTGAATATTCTCCTTCAGTGTAATGGACTCTGTGTGCTTTGTTACTCTGATGTCACAGCTTATTCTATTATGAAGGAAGATATCACAGTTGATTTTTTTTTAATCTGTGTCTTTTTCCTGGAAATATTCTCCTTGGTCCCTACTGTTTTTTCTCTCATTTCTATAACAACCCACTCATATCAAGTGTCTGGCTCAGTGGACTAACCAGTGTCTTTATGTAAATTAAGACAGCTGAATAAGTAATGAGGACACAACCAGCCTCTCTCCCCAAGTCACACACACACACACACACACACACACAGCCCCTAATTTTTATAGTACAGTATGATTAAGAAACTGGAAATAAGTTACCTGAAATAATAATCTTAATCCAAGATTTTAATTTGGTACTTTGGTCAGGTATTGGATGTATATACAATAAATATTACTAGATGTTCTTCTCTCATAAGCTACACTTAGAATGAAGCATTTCTCACTAGAATTTCATAGCAAACTCGTGCACTTGAGTTGATGCTCAGGCCTAGTGTATGAAATTACACATATGTATATGAAATCAAGGATTTGTTTTTGTTCAATTCAGGAATGCTGTTTTCACCACACTAGGATCGGAATGCAGTGGGAACTGTTGTTGCAGCATAGCAGGACAGCTATAAAAACTTGCCTGCCCAAGATTTTCTGGAATGTTAACTGAGAGCACAGTTATCTATATGGCAGTCAACTCTCTGGTAGGTTTTAGATGTGTCATGGGCCAGTGATCCAGCCTCATATCTCGTTATAATTAAAGCAGCTAAGCGGAGATATTAACAATAGTAAGCTGAACCTGTAATACCATAATTTTGTTTCAAAAAGATTGTGTAGCTTTTTTTGCCTCCCATGGTAAGCATCAGAAATGCCTTTGGATAGATTGAGCTAGTTTAAAAACTATTTATTAGGCATTCAACCTGCAGACAAAAATTCTAAGTTATTTTACAAGTGAACACAAGCACAGACGTAACAAGAACATGAAAGTGCCTTTGGGAAGCATCGTTTAGTCCTTTGAAGGTTTATGCTCATTTCCATATTCTAACCTGCATTCTTGATAAATCATTGAATTAAATAATTAAATTAATCAACTAGATGAGTCTCCAACTGGCTCTTCAATTACACTCAAGTCAACTGATATGTGGCCTTTGACTCATTTTAATTATTCTGCTTATTTTCTGATATGGGGTGGGGGTTGGTGGCACTTATTTATTGCACAGTATCATGTACGTGCAAAAAAGCCAAAAAGAACATTTGAATCCTATGAGTCTCCTAGTTGTAGGAGACCTACCTTTTCACTCATGTCAAATTTTACCCTGATAGCATACATCTCACCATCTATCGTGTCTCATCTACAAACCAACATGAAAACACCTTAAAAGACACTCTAGACTGTTCACAGTAATTTCACCCAGATGTAGCAGCTCCCCTAATCTGCACAGCCCCTCCCCAGTTTTTTCAGTCATGATTCAGTTTGCATGGCTGGTTTGTTCATTGTTCAAGCCATTCACACAGAATGGAATAAAACTTTATTCTTTTTAAATGCTACACACAAACAAGATGCTGAAAAGCTCTTGCCATCTCTGACAGAAAAGCAGAGCAGCTGTTTCATGAATGACAGCACAATTAAAGCTAAAATAATAAAAAAATAATTTGAAAAAAAGTCCCTTTTACTGTACACTCTCAAATAAAGCAAGAAAGATAACAGTTTCTGCTAGCCAGAAAATGTGTTGCTATTCATTTGGGCTTTGAAGTTCAGTGTATCCCACATCTGTGTGCATATGTGTGGGTTCTGTGTGTATAATCTACAATGTGTGGTAACTCCTAATCTTTTTATCTAGTTTGCTTAATCATTAAGCTTCTTAACCAATTAGAATACTATTATATCACTTTGAACAACTTTACATAATTGCTCCTTTGAAATACTAGGAATGTTGACACATTTATTTGGCTTGTAGAGGACTGAAATATTACAGATAATATTATCTAGCTCTTTTTTTTTTTTAAAGAATATGGCTCTTAGTAAATTGATTTTCTGAGTTCCAGAGCAAAAGTCCCTTTAAAAAAAATTTCTCAAGCTGACTTGAAGCAGAAAGGATGTCTTCTGATTTTGCCAAAAAATAGATGGATTTCTGATATCATTTAAAATTTGAGGAAATAATTATGGGGAGAGGGGCTTTGTTGTCACCTGTTTTCAGCTAAACTTGTCATGAAGCATTTGTTGAAGTATCTCCACTTGGCCAGCAGAGGGCACTTTAAACACCTCTGCATTGCCTAGGGAGGCAAATGCAGAGGATACAGAAACACAGTGTTCACCCAAAATCAGGCAGAGCCCTGAAGATTTCTTTTTGAAAGTCACAAAAACATAGAAACCATGGACTGTCCCATAGGGCTTCATTTGGAAAGTCAGGAGTGTGTATGAAGTCAAGTAGGGAGGGCCATCCATGTTGTCTGTGTAGTGGATAGATCTTCAGCCCATGTTTTTCTGCCTCTTCCAGCTCCAGTGGCAATGTTTTTTTTTTTTTTCCCCAGACAGTGCAGCTTCCATTTTCAAGCCATCTGCTTGAAGATGCATCTTTTTAATTATGTTCTTACTCTTCTGTTCAAAAGTTTAGAGCTACTGAACAACAGATAAAGCTTCATCTCTCATCTAAGAGTAAAATTTACAATTCAACCATCACCATTGCCCTGTGATGGAGGTGCCCCTTTGGGACTGGGGTGCTGAATGGTTTCCATCCTCCCAGAAAGAACTCGGAACAGTATTGTGCCCTGGTTGGTTTTGGCAAACTCACTAGCCTGAGGCTATGTAGTGAAGGAGGAGATATTGATCTATTTTTTTCAGTTGAAATAAAATGATTAAGACATCTTTTCTCAGCTCACCTTTCTTAAAAAGGCCTTATTTTCTGCAAAAGCATTATTATTCTAGATAGACCCTGTGTCTCTTCTATTTTTCTTTCCTGTAGGCTCCAGTTTCATGTCAAAAAAGACTAGAAAGGATTGTGTGTAGGCATATGTGCTTGCACAGTTTTTAAAGTACAATTCTTCCATTCTTAGAGAAATGTAACACTTAGTAAAGATATTTTTTTCATATGGTGTTAGCCTTTGCTTGCTTTCTATTAGTCTCTTTCTGCCTCTGGCGCTCTTTTGCTTTTGTTTGTCCTAAAGTTGACAGGTAAGGGGGAAGGGGGACCCTCCCAGCAGCCGTGCTTTGAGATGGAGGTGCACTCAGTGAGTCCTCACCCAAAAAGGATCATAAACTTACTGGGTTAAGTCAACCTAACTATCCCTAAGCTGCCTCGGGTTTTGTGTCTGCTCGTATATTTTGTTTTGTGTTAGCTGCACCATATGTGATTCCTTGTGCCATTTTCTTTTGTCTATTATTTTTCTTGATGACCCTGAGCTATGGCTTCCTCCTCAGTTCCAACACTATTCAGCTTTCGTTGCTTTCCTCATTTTGCCGATGTAGGCCTCAAAGAAGAAATGGCAGAAGAGCACAAGGTAGCTGAGGTACATGAGTGAGGACCAGAAGATGTTGTGAAAGTGGGAGTGACACTGGTCATGCTGCATCCAGTAGTAGACCAGGTAGTTAATGACACAGCCCATGAGCATCTGAGTGATCTGAGACAAGGTGATGAACATGGCAAACTTCCGGGAGACGCGGAAACCTGCGGCCCGCAAGGCATAGTAAGAGTACATGACGGCGTGCACGCCATAGTTCATAGTCATGAACCAACCCCCCCCTGCCACCATGTCTTTGTAGGAGTACCAAGAATACAGGAGCACAGTGATGTGGTGGTACCAGTGCAGGAAGATCAGCTTCTGCTTCCTCAGAATGATGAATATTGTATCTCCTGGAAGACAAAGAAGGAAAAGAATGGGCATGAGCCTCCTGACCACACATGGGTAGTTTTGGAAGAGGGCAGACATCTTGAGCTAGGGCTGGATCAGAATCGTGGACTGGTATAACTGGGTCTGTGAATTTGGACAAGTTATGTTTCCTCACTCTCTATAAAAAGGGGTTGGTAGTAGCTTGGAATTGTCTGGATGACCAACATACCTTCTTCATCCATTGTAAGCAAGTGACAAATGTTTCTTTTGAAGTATTTTACACAAAAGCCTACTAGCTTTTGATATGGGGCCAGGACACCCAATTTTCAACTCATGCATACATCTTAAGAAATACTACCTGGAGGGGACAGATGACTTGTTGTTGATTATTCACCAACCAAGACAAACAGAGTGGGAGGCAAATGCAAGTGCCCAGCAAAATGTTCTTAGGCCTCTTGAGTGGTAAAACCATAACTTTTCTTTGGTGTGTAACAAAGGTATCCCTCAAACACCTATCTTTGTAAGCTTCTGTAAAATGTGAAGCCTTTGCATATGGCAGGAAGAAAAGCAAGATTTATACAAAAGACAAAGATGGAAAAGGAGGACCAAAACTCATCTTTTATATACATTTGCAGATGAGGGTAAAGAGAATATTTTATACCAATGAATCAAGTGAGGAAAATACTGAAAATAATGCTTTTCATTTTATGGAATTATCTGTTCCCTATCACAAAATTTTCTAACAATATTCCTGTATAGAAGAAGACTACTAGTTTAGGGTAAGGAATTTATACGACAGAAGACTGAATTATGCTCAGGCAGGCAAATGCTCTACTTCTACAATGAATTCTCCTTTCTGTGTATGAAAAAATATAAAATGTAGAACATTTATGTAAAAATGGATGTGGAGGAAGTCCACTATCAAGTTCACTCAGTTCCATTAATAAGTAAGATAAAAAGATATGCAGGACAGAAAGAGGTTTACATAGGTAAAAGCCCCTCTCCTATCTCCATGGTTATCAGACATGGAAAAACCAACACCTTACACAAATATGACTTCTTTCTAGAAAGTTCTTCTTATTCTGCAATTTCATTAAGCATAAAGGAAGCCAGCAGTTATTGCTGTCTTATACCTCACATACTTTGTGGATGGCCTGAAATTCTTGACATTAGAAAAGGTCCAAAAATTCTGGGCTTCAGAAAAGCTAAATGTTCTGATGGCTGTGGTACCCCATAACATTCATCTGGAGTTATTAGTTTATTTCTCTACTGAATTATTAAACATTAATACTTCATGTTTGTTTAGAACCCAAAAGCAAAGTTGTCAATTTCCTCATTTCTGAATCAACTATAAAATTTCCATTGAAGTCTTTTCTCTTGTGAGAAGCTTAATTTTTTATTATGTCTATCAATATCAGATAGGCTGATAATGAACAGATGGTGACAGTCACTCTCATGTGTATACTTAAGAACCAAAACTGGTGTCAGGAGACCTGGGGTCTACTTCTTCCTGTTAAACCATGCTATTTTAGCATGCCTGTCAAAGATCTACCACTTTTGGTAATTACTGCTCTGTGACTGCCTTCCCTCTGTAGACTGTAATGGAGATACAATAATTCCAGCCTACCTTTGTTAACAGTGGAAAGGAGGTAGAAGTCCAAGGAATTTTATATTAAAAACAGAGTCATTCATAATTGCGAAGATTTTTATGAGTCTCTTTGCATTAATTAAAAATATCAATCTGATACAATATCCAAACACATTGTAATAAAAGTTATTTGCACAAAGCAACAGTATTTCATCCTAATTCTTTAGATTTAATTTAATTCTATCATCATTCTTATATTAACATTTTATCATCTAAAGCACAATTAAAACTGACTATAGTAGAAAAAGCTAATGTGGAATGAGAGTAGTCTGCAATTCTAAAGTTGAGGATTGCTTTGTGTTTTTCCTGTCTAGGGGTGGGGTTGGGGAAGTCTCAGGTTTGACCTGAGGCATATTTTTAGTTACTTTGGGGAGGGGATTGGAGTGGATGGGGAAATACATGACATGAAATTTTGAAAACAAAATTAATTCGAAGTCACTTAAGAATTTTTTTTTTTGTCAGAACAAATAGTAAGTTTTTGGATGAGTAACGAGTATCTCCCAACAATGGCCCTGGAGCTGCTCAATGGGACCACTTCAAAGTCATACCATGGTCACTGTCTTTAAGACCTCAGATCCACAGAATGGGGATTTCCATTGGGAAGAGGGACCCAGTGAAGTTCTGGAAGGGCCAACCAGGACCTTTCACGGTCGGTCTACGATACTGCGGGTTAGATGCATTGGCTTACGCCATTCTGGCAGGTATAAATTATTGTTCCTCTGAGAGACTACATAGTATTACATTTACCTTGCCATGAGTCATGCCAAGTTGTGACATTTACAAGCTTGCCAGAAGTTATAGAGGGATCCAGAAATGAAAACTATCCTAAGGACTGTGTATCTGATATTTACGAACCAATCTGTCTTGGCCAAAGGTCTAGTTGACATTGTGGAACAGATATCGGCCAAGTATAAGCACTAGGACTTTGGACTCTTGAAGGTTTCATTTATGTCACCTACTTGAGCTACCTCCTGGTTCATGTTCTCTTTACCATGATCTTGCTAACCTTTGGCCCAATTGTCTTCAGTCAAGAGACAGCTGGGAGGAAGGGCTCTTGCACCAAGTGTCCCTCCTGAACTAATCTTCTGCCTATGCACCTGCTAAGTGCAGACCTCTGTGTATCTCCTGCAGAAGTCAATCAGCATCTGGAAACCTCCAGCGCATTCAGGGCCACCAAAAGATGTGGCGAGGTTACTTTGCATGTGTGGTTTGACCCACGGACGACTGAGCCCCTCTTCACAGTTAACTGGAGTGCTGCTGAGTCAGAGTTTCAAAAACAATGACAAGCTCAACTGAGCAAGGACCTAGACGTAGAGCAGATGCTTCCAAGTTTTAACAAAAGCAAATCTCAGCAGGTTTTAATATAATTCAAACAGTAGGCACTAAGGATTTGGCACACAAAGCAGAGTGGTGGCTCTCTGGCTCTCACTTGTTCTAGTCCAGTGTAACACTGTAAATTCATTGAAATGAGCTCACTGTGTTCTGCTGAAACACAGAGTCCTTCTTGCAATTATTAAGAATTTAGTGAAGGGAGAACAGGAGGGGCAGTGTTAATGGGTACAGAGTTTCAGCTGGGAGAAATATGAAAGTTTCAGAGACGGATGGCATGATGGTTAAACAACGGTATGAATATTATGTCCATCTTATTGCAGGATAAAAAAAAGAAAGCAAGTTTAGGGAAAATTGCAGGCATCAGGATTTTGGGGAAAACTACAGTTTCATTGTTTTGTATATGAGAAAACTGTTCTTTTTTTTTTTTTTTCTTCTCATAAGACCTTTTCTTTCTGGTAGTCAAAAGGGAGTCCAGAATCTTAGAACACTGAAAGGAAGAATTTGTGACCTAAAAAAAAAAAAAAAAAATCCAAATGGAAAAATTTTTCTTAATTAAATGGTGATGATGAAATTTCCTAATTGCAAAAAAAACTGGGAGGGAATTTAACCTCCAAAATGTATGAAAAAGCATCTAGGCAGATACATTTTGCTGGCTGGGGCTGGGCTGGCTGTCTTGGGGACACATGCACTGATTTTTCGATCTCTCTCCTCTCTCTCTTTCTCTCTCAGTGGCACTGGAGTTTAAACTCAGGGCCTTGAGATTGCTTGGTAATCTTCACCACTTGAGCTACATCCTAGATCTGTTTTGACTCAGCAGTTACCTCAAACAAGCTCTAGAGTATTTGAAGGACAGTATTTCATGTTTTTAGCTACAGAGGAGTTGGGGGGTAGGAGAATTGAGGTCTGAGGCTGGCCCAGGCAAAAAGCATGAGACCCTATCTGAAAAATAACTAAAGTAAAAAGGGTTGGGAGTGTGGCTTAAGTGGTAGAGCACCTGCCTAGCAAGTGTGAGGGCCTGAGTTCAAAACCCCAGTACAGCGAAAAAGAAAAAGGGAGAGAGAATGAGAATTGGAACTGTAAGAAGAATTTATTTCCCTAGCTTCATTAAAGAACAATGCCATGAAAAGGATATTTTTTCCCAATGCTCCAGCCCAATGTCAACCCTTTAGTTCCATAGCTTTAGCTATGAGGTGATGGATTATTAAACTGCCATAGAGGTTGGGCATGTAGCTCTCAGTGGAGTGTTTGCCTAGCATGCACAAGGCCTTGGGTTCAACCTTCAGCACTGCAGTCAATCAACCAATAAAATAAATTATCACCACAAATAACTGTTGCAAGTGAACATCTCCAGGAAAAGTGTGCTAGCATTACCCCCTCCAAGTGCTTGCAAGTGATGGACTTGAGTCCGACTCCTTCTGAGCTCAAGAATAAGACTATGCTCAATGCTCTGTGGGACAGAGAAGAATGGAACATGGGGTCACTGACTGACATCATCAAGATGACACAACACAGAGGATGAGAGCATAAATGCCTCTGAGAGCTGTACTAGTTCTTCTCCAGGGATTCTAACTCTGTCCTAAAACTTTGACTTCAACCTGGAATAGAAGACAGGATAGAGAACAGAGGTATAATTATGTATTTGAAGTAAACTGACCACTGTGGACAGCTTGAGGTGGCCCTTCCATAAAACATCCCTCCAGGAAGTGTAGAAAGGACTCTTTAGTCTCGAGTCCCTCAAATACAACTAGATAGAACTCAGAACACCAGAGATGTGGAGTTCTTGTACAGAAAAGGCACTTTTAGAATAAAAGACTGAGACCACTTCTTTGCTTTTGAACCATAAATAAGACAACATTTTTGCTTAAAAAATTGTTGCTGGGTGTGGGTGTGGTATCATATGCCTGTAGTCCAAGATCCAGCTAGTTGGGAGGTGGAGGTAGGAGAATCACTGCCCAAGGCTAGCCAGGGCGATATTAGTGTGTGTTCCTATGTAAAAACAAACAAAACCCAAAAGGGCAGGAGGTACAGCTCATGTGGTAAAGCACCTGTTTAGCAAGCACAAGGCTCGGAGTGCAAACCCCAGTACTGAAAAGAAAAAAAAAATGCTGCGAGTAGTAAAAGGTAGACATTTCATGCATTTACTACATTCATACATCTGCAGTCAGTCCTGTATCAAAAAAGATGGGGGAAGGGTTAAGGATACCTATATACAGCATAAAAGTCAGGGGGAGTTAACCTTTTATAGTGCCTATAAAGACAGTCTTGGAGTGAAACTCACTAGTGTGGATTCAGTCCACAAGTGGATTCAGTCCACACTAGCCAGTCAGTCAGTAAATTCACATTAAGTAACTACATTGGACCAGGCATTTAATAAGGGCTAGAACAGAATGACTCCTGAACGTAAAACAGAATTTTGTGATATGAACTTTACAGATCAGGTCCCAGGAAGCTGCTTTTTAGACTTGTATTAGGAGTACTAAGTGCAAAATCTTAGGCTACAGAAGTGGTTTTCCAACTTGACTCTTCAGAAAATGCCTGAAACTCTACAGATGTATTTTTTAGGAATTTTTTTAATTCTATGAGAATATTTAAATTTTGTGAATAAAAAGATTGTCTTGTCAGAAATATTTCTTTCATAGTGATTCTTTTTTTTTTACTTAGGTTCATAAGATTTCAGAATCAGAAGATTTGTTCTCAACTGGGGCTGGCCTGAGAATATATTCTTTACTCTTGAGGGTTTTTTTCTTTAAAATAACTTCCTGCATTGTGGCAATTTGAGAATTACTCAGATGAGAAAGGTTAACTCCCCCTGACTTTTATGCTGTATATAGGTATCCTTAACCCTTCCCCCATCTTTTTTGATACAGGACTGACTGCAGATGTATGAATGTAGTAAATGCATAGTTCTCCTTTGAAATCAGCATGTTCTATGTAAACTATGTAGCTGTTAATACACATGATGCAAAACTATTAAAATGAAAGGAGAGGGGGAAAAAAAGAAAGTACAAGTCAGTCAAAACCTCAAATTCATTATCGCTTTCCTGCAACCAACAAAGCAAGACCTGTAAGCTGTTTGTTTCTTTGTTCATTTTTAGGAAGTACTGTGGATATGTGGCTGCAAAGAGAGGGAGAGGAAACGGAAAGAGGGAAGACAACTCACCTAGTTCGGGTGCTTTGCTTAGCACAAATGCATAAGCCCAGAATTTGCTGACGGGTCCATTGTAAAAACTCTGGTCACAAACTGACTGCTTCAGGCCTTTGGTCATCAAAATGTACACCATGTAAGCACCAGTACGTAGAGCACCGAATATACTTCACAGTGAAGAGAAAAGAAACAACAGTTAGGAAAAGCATTTCACTTCTGACATGACCATACCAGAACACACTGGATGAAGAATCACAGTAATTTCCATTTACTTGGAAGCATCTTTAAATGTTTGGTAAGCAAAAGCTAACACAACTCTTTATTCTGAATACCATATACAACACCCACTAATCTTCATCAATGTCCCAGAGTGAGGTCATGGAAGCGGGAAATATTGTCCCAAGCAGGACCACAGGAGGAACTCTGATGACCCCTGTGTATCAACTTGAAAATTATTCCATGGGAAGAATATGACAGCTGCAAATTCTTAGAGTTATCTCAGTTCTGCCCCATGGCCAGACTTTTTCCATGCCCCACTGGCTCTCCTCCCTAAAAATCTGTTCATCTCTTTAAGCCAACTCTTCCTCTGCATCTGGATGTGACTCCTTGGCGACCCATTCCCACTCTCTGAGTCATCTTTGGATTCCATGGTAGCCACAAGAAGCCTCCTTTCAGGAACTTCCACCCATGACAGACAGAAGCAGTCTCTGCTCAGCTCCAAGAGCCATGCATCTGAATGGCTCAATGTTGTTCTTTATCATGTTTACCTCCACATAGGCATAGGTGCTTCACAAAGAATGTGGGAAAAGGGAAATCTTGTTGAAAATATGAAGACAACAACAAGAACACCCCTTCAGGAGTTTTTTGGTTTTTTTTTTTTTTTTTAAACCAAGGACCTACTGAGGAAACAGGAGAGCTCTGTCTGGAATGTGCTGGCTCAATAATGCGACCTAAAGCCTGAAAGGACTTGGCAACTGGAACAAGTAGGTTCCTGTTGCAGAGTGAGCCTTTCCATGGATGTCCCAGAGGATGCAAACCACAGCCAGCACACAAGGGGAGCTGGCTAGTCCCATGGGGAGAGTGTCTGCCTATCCTTTGTCCCCTTCCAGAAGTCAGTTGGGAGATCAATGTGTGAACAACAGTGAGATGAGGGGGAGCGTTGGTAAGTTGGGAAATGGAGCTTTTCTTTCTCTTCCCAGAGAAGACATAGAGACACTTTTTTTAAATTTAAAAAGTGTTAGAGTTGCCAAGAATGAGTCATTCCACAAAGCTAACCTGTCCACAAAATGTACCCACCATCTAGAACTAAAGGTCAAGTTTGCAGAGAAGCAAGGCAATGAAGTTGAATTCCTGGTAACTATCTATCAAGCTGGGACTTTGTAAATAGCTTCTCTAAAAGCCTTACGTCCATAGTAGATAGTCTTTCTCATTTCAATGCACGAGATCACTGTCATTTCCAGTTGCCAATCCTGTTTAATCCTTCAGTGGCTTCCCTCTGCATTCAGATGAAAGCTCCAGTTTCTTACCAGGACCTCCACAGCTTCATCCTCACTGCCTGCCATTCTATCCTGTTCAGCATGAACCAACTAATCCAGCACTTTTGGTGCTTCCTGTTCTCTGCCTAAGAACTTTTGAAATGCATTTTTACCTGGTTGGGAAGCTTTTCTTCATTCACTCCAAGGTTTCCTGTGTAATCTCAAAGAAATGTCATCTAGTGGAATGATTTAAGTCTTCACAGGGAGTTGGATTTCATTGGTAATATCAGCTAATGAGATTTTTTTGTTGTTGTTGTTGTTACCTAAATTTATTTTTTGTTTTGTCTTTACCTCAAAAGATGATGGCTAAACTTTAATGAGAAATTCCATCATCATCCAAGTAAGGAATTGCACCTTGGACATTTTTGATTTGCTGCTACAGAATGTAATTGGGAAATAGGAATATGGTTTTCTATGAGCATACGAAGCGACACTGTTGACTGCCCATTCAAAGTTAAGTACCTCCTTCCTGTTCCATGCTAAAGGAGCACTCGTTCTGGTTCTTGCAACTTTTGATTCACTCAAGGAAAATCACCTTGTCTTCAATTTAGGGGCAAATCTTAAGTATCTAAATCAGTGTTAGATCTCAGTTTCCATACTATGACTTGTTAAGGTGGCCATGTGACTCAATTCTAGCCATGTGATGATGTGTGAGAGCTGCAAGGTTTCCTTGCTCTTCACCACTTGCTGTCTGGAAATGCAGCAGTCATTTTCCAAATGTGAATGCTTCCTTGATGACAAAACCAACTCAGGATAGCAGAACAGTGACTAAGCTGGTGAATCAACTCATCTTTCTGTGGTCCTATCTCAAAGTGTCTTGCTTTTGAGACAATAAATCTTCCCTAATGTTTAAGCTATCAGGAGTTCTGTTTTATATTATGTGCAGCTCAGGCCTTCTGGGAGACACAACACACTAGACCTGACTTTCAGTAGACTTGAACACCAGTGAACATTTTGAGCCAAAAACCCATCAGTGGCCATAAAGTACATCTAATCATAGATTCTGCTTTCCATTTGTTTGTTTTGGTGAGGCTGGGGTTTGAACTCAGGACTTTAAACTTGCAAAGCAGGCACTCTACTGGTTGAGTCACAACTCCAGCCCAAGATGCTGCTTTTCATATACTAGTGTAGGAGATTTCAGTGGCTGGTACAAGCCAAAAGCAAGGAAACACACAAGCACCCTTTCAAACACATTGATCATTTCCTATTAGCTCTGGCTCTATGAGTTTTCTGAATCATTGAGCACATTTCATAAAAATATCACCTTCTCTATTAGTTCCAGCCCACATACGCAGAAACACACAGCCTAGAACTCTTCCTGTACTATATCTGCTGCTAGACTGTGTGCTTTGTGAGAGATTAGGGAAGATCAAAAGAAAGTACCTTTGGAATATTTTCCTTTCACCTTCATGGTCTAAAAATCATTGTAGCTTGCTTCCAATTTCTAATCATGAATACTTTAACACAATTTAATTTATCCTTTAAGTCATTAAGTATTTAGTGGCATAGTTTTAGATCCTAGGGTGACAGATATCATTAAGCTAACTCTGGCTGGTAGTGGTGGTCCTGGAAGCGTTCACAGGAAGTGGCATTTGAATTAGGGACAAATAGATATTCACAAGTTCAAGGGTTAGGGCCTGGAGACATCATTGCAGAGAAGTGTAGAATTGAAGGTTTTGGTACCACAGTGAACCATAATAATGCTGACAAGTGTATAGAGCACATATTATTGTCCCATATCTGGACGTTAGCCTCATTCCCTAAGCTCTGAACAACAAGGCTGACTCAGAACACAGGACAGTGGCACTTTTCAGAGAAAACATCAGTGCCAGCCATTGGACCTCTGTGTCTCTGGGCAAAGGCGCATTGTGATATGACAATGCTACTGCTGGGGGACGGTGGGGGAGCTGCTTGGCCAATAGGATGATTGTTATGTGTGGGAAGCCAGCATCTCTGCCCCTGGCACATCTCAGCCACTGCAGACTTTAGAACCAAGTGGCTCTTCTTATAATAGCAACCACACTGTGACCCACTACCAAAATATACTTCAAAGAGAGAAGACATTTTTTTCTTCCCTAAGTTATATTACCTTGAGAGACAGTGTGATGCAATAGGTAAATATGTACCTCCCAGTCCTTATTTATCTACATGCAGGCAGTGCTGATCAGCTCAACCCTCTTTCTGGCTATGCCCAGGGGTAGCATTGAACTTCTCAAACATTCTAAACCACTACCAACAGATCAGCATTGCAAAGTGAAGCCTTTGTACACACTAGGCTCTAGTCACGGCTAGATCACTTGCTAGTTTCATTACTGGGGAAGTTGTCTTTTGTCATTTGAAATGAGAATATGGCTTGCAAATTAATTCTATGAGTTTTATAATACAATATTAAGTTGCATATCTAGTTAGTGTCAAGTATCTGATATACACATGATCAATAAGTTTTTATAATTTTGTTATTCTTACTCTATTACTATTTATTATTATTGCTGTTTATTTTGCCTGTCCCTCAACATTGAAAATCAGCTTTGCCTCATTTCGTTAGGTAAGAAAGGTTAAAGCTAATTATCCCTGACTGAAAGGCAAGGAATCAATTTATAGAGAACTTGACTCACCCTAATGACTGTCTGTAGTTTATATTCATATTATTCTCATACTGCTATGAAAACTCAGAATGTGTGTATATCTACCTACCTATCTACCTACCTACATCTTATCTATTTATCTTCTCCCAATAATGCTAGGTTGATTCCTGTAGGTTGATATGCTCCATGCACCTGCATGATACATCCACATCTGCACTGGTCTCTCCTCTCCCTATTGGTCTGACAGCTTCCTTTCCCTCTCTAAAAGCTATCACTGATCTCTTTATAAAGAAAGATTCCAGGCATGGCGTGGTGACCCATGCCTGTAATCCCATCTACTGGGGAGGCAGTGGCAGGAGGATCACAAGTTGAAGGCCAGTTTAGGAAAAGCCAGTGAGATGTATCTCAAAAACAAAATACGAATAAAAGGACCAGAGGTGTGGTTCAAGTGGTAGAGTGTTTGCCTAGCCTGTGGTGAGACCCTGGGTTTAATCACCTTTATGGCAAAGAAAAGGAAGAGAAGGTAGGCAGGAAGGGAAGGGAAGGGAAGGGAAGAGAAGGAAAGGGAAGGAAGGAAGGCAAGGAAGGAAGTTAAGGAAAATTACATCCACAGCCTGAGTTCAAGGAAGGACTGCCCTCCAAGTCAGAATAGTGTGGAGCAGTATGCCATTATTTGGTCATCTTCTCAAAACATTTCCAACAGATTCCCTGACACTGGAGCGGCCACTCCCTGCACAACTCTGGAGTGAGTGGTCAGGAATCCCTTTAGCCTGACCAGGGACATGTAGGAAGCTTCATACCTGGCTAGCTCAGGCCCCTACCTTTTGCATCTTGATCCCAATTTTTATCTCCACAAAAGTTGGTCATGCACCAATAAGTTGTCACAATACTACCAAGCTCACAACAGGACACAAAATGAGCCTTCTCCAAAAACAGGTCCTGTCTGGGGGGATAGTATCAGTAGGCGGGGTTGGGGGAGGGATATAAGGAAAAGGTGTTGTAGGAGGGTGAAGATGGTAGAAAATATTATATACACATGTATGTAAA